GAGGTCTCAGTAGGTCAGAGACAACATGATGGCACACAGTGACAAACAACAGTTGCAATTTCTTCAATATATGCTCATAAAACCATAACACATAAGAAGTAATATTTCAAATATAATGCGGCTAGCACATTGGAGCTGAACTACCATTGACTTGGCCTACAGACCTAGAGAAGTCAAGTACAGTGCTGAATCCTTTGATTTCAGTGACTATTATGATGTCTTTGGCTCTAGTGCTCCACAACAGGAACATTGCAGGTCACCTTTGAATTCCTATTTGCTTTTCACATCCTGAGAAAATGGCTCAGGTTAACAATAATGAGCCTGTCCTTTCGAAAGAGGGGCACATTGACAGCCCAGTGGCTCTTCAGAAAAGACATACTACAACGTGGGCATTTACGAAATGGTCAGTGATTGAGGATTTTCAGATACTCATCAACCTATAAAAATAATTGATGGAGTGAAAGGGTTGACTGGGATGAACTTTGCCACTGAATTAATGGTCACTATTAATTTGCCTTGAATGTGCTGGAAGCAAGATGAGGACTTTGAAACAAAGATAGTTAAAGCATCAAAATCTAGTAAAATTATTAGTGCCTGACATTCCTCCCCACTCCCATCTGATACTTTATGTGATTCGGGGTTTTTTTCACTCTATTTAGGAAGAGAGAGAGAAGGAGGACTTATACAGTAAAACGAAATATTCTCATTCAAAGACATCCAGTTAAGAGGAGGGAGATTAGCAGGAAACAACAATTGAATATCCTCTTCACAGAACAGAAAATACTTCAACACACATGAATTTGAAAGGGGTTAATTGAATTTATATAGGACAAGTCGATTGTTGACTACAAGTTACGAGTGCTGCATTCGTACCTCCAATTTCCCATATAACTAAGAACATGAAGAATCTCTCTAGCTTTAATCCCATGTCACACTGTGTAACACAGTTTTTGTTCTTGGGTTGTAAATATCATTTCCTAATTGGCTCTACCATAAAAACATGCAGAAAAAATCTTAAACTGCAAAAGCTTTGTTTCTACAGGACATCCTGCAGCACATTTCTGCTATAGTTTTTCAATGAATATCTCATTAAAAATATAATTTGTGGCAGCCACAAAAATGAAGTTTCTGAAGTATAACAATGACTTTCAAAATAAGTACCACACAATTAAACAGGAAATAACACTTCCAAACCAGGAACAGAAAAGAAAAAATCAAATTTTGTTACATAGTGATATATAAAATATACATAAATATATATAGTTTATTTCTTTAATTCTAAGACGGCTTAAATTTCAGTACCACCAACAACAAAAAAAAACTGTAAGATGTACCCGTGATGCTAAAACGCACATTGTTTTGAGAAAATGTATCTTAGAATCAAAGAAATACAGTATATCTCTGTGTGTGTATATATACACAAACACGCAATAGCAACAACTGTAATGTCATTGGAGCAAGACCTTCCAATAGCATAACCATGATCAATTATTTATGTTTATTGATTGTTTATGATGCTTTATATTTATCCCTATGATGCTGTTGATTTTGTATTATATTTTAACATGCTGGAAGCCACTTTGGGCCGCTTTGTGGAATAAAAGTGGCATATAAATAAAGATTTATTAATAATAATAATAATAATAATAATAATAATAATAATAATAATATCATATGACTACAACAATGATGATGTTGATGATATATTAAATAAGAGGAAGAGGGAGGGGGAAATGGATAGGTTTAAGTAATAGGTGTTTAGAAGCAGCTCAGTATTTCATGTCTGCCATGGCGACCATGAGGTTGTCCCAACAGGTATCTGGCCCTACCCACTGTGCTGGCCACACCCTAGACTTGGTTTTCTGTCAGGGATGGGAGAATGGTGGTGGTGTGGAGGAGCTGACTATCACTCTGTTGCCATGGACTGACCATCACCTGCTCAGGTTTAGACTCCTCTAACCTCCACAGGGGTGTAGGACCCATTAAGATGGTCCGCCCCAGGAGGCTTATGGATCCTGATGGATTCCTGACGGCTCTTGGGGAATTTCCTGCCACCTCGGTTGGTGATCCCGTTGAAGCTCTGGTCACTCTCTGGAATTGGGAGATGACTAGGGCAATAGACACGATTGCTCTGGAGTGGCCCTTCTCAAGTAGCCGAGATAAATCAGCTCCTTGGTTCAACAAGGAATTGGCAGAGATGAAGAGAAGGAAGTGGAGTCTAGAGAGCGTGTGGCGTTCGGATCCGAGCAAGCCAAATTGAACACGTCTTGATTCCTTTCTAAGGTCATATGCCGTGGCAATAAAGGTCGCATAGAAGTTTTTTCTGGCAGCCAATATTGCATCCGCAAGGAATCTTCTGGCGGAGCTGTTTCGAGTTGTCATAGGCCTGTTAAATCCCACTGTCCAGGATGGGAGACCTGACAACTCAACAGCCCACTATGAAGCGTTTGCTTGGTTCTTTGCGGACAAAGTCACTTTGATCCGTTCCGACCTGGACACCATGCTAACGGCATTCTCTGAGGATGTAACACAAGCACCTGCTTGTCCGATTTTGATGGATTCATTTCAATTGGTGAAACCCGAGGACGTGGACAAGATACTTGAAGGGATGAGAGCGACCACATGCATCCTAGACTCCTGCCCATCCTGGCTTTTAAAGGAAGTCAGAGGGGGTTTGGCCGACTGGGTGAAGGTGGCGGTTAATGCCTCCCTATGGGAAGGCAATATTCCAGCAAGCTTACAACAAGCTGTGATAAAACTGCTGTTGAAAAAAACATCACTGGACCCCACTCAATTCGTCAACTATCGACCTGTCTCCAATCTCCTCTTTTTGGGCAAAGTCCTGGAACGTGTGGTGGCCTCACAACTCCAGGTATTCTTGGAAGACACAGATTATCTGGATCCGGCACAGTCTGGCTTTAGGCCGGGACATGGTACCGAGACAGCCTTGGTCGCCTTGGTGGATGATCTATACCAGGAGCTAGACAGGGGGAGTGTGTCCCTGTTGGTTCTGCTGGACCTCTCAGTGGCCTTCAATACTGTCAACCACGGTATCCTTCTGGGACGCCTTGCCGGAATGGGCCTTGGAGCTACTGTTTTTCAGTGGCTCCGGTCCTTCCTAGAGGGTCGTTCCCAGATGGTTTTATTGGGAGACACCTGTTCAACCCCACAACCATTGTCTTGTGGGCTTCCTCAGGGTTCAATACTGTCTCCCATGTTGTTTAACATCTACATGAAGCTGCTGGGGGAGGTCATCTGGAGTTTCAGAGTGCGGAGTCACCTGTATGTAGATAACGTCCAACTATGTCACTTCTTCCCACCTACTACTAAGGAGACTGTTCAAGTCCTGAATCGGTGCTTGGCCGCTGTGTCAGACTGGATGAGGGCGAACAAATTGAAATTGAATCCAGACAAGACAGAGGTACTCCTGGTCAGTCGAAAGGTTACAGCCTGTGTTGGACGGGGTTGCACTCCCCCGGAAGACGCAGGTTCGCAGCTTGGGTATGATCCTGGACTCATCACTGAGCCTGGAACCCCAGGTTTTGCTGGTGACCAGGGGAGCATTTTCACAGTTAAAACTTGTGCGCCAGCTGTGCCCATACCTTGGGAAGTCTGACTTGGCCACGATAGTCCACGCTCTGGTTACATCCCATATAGACTACTGCAAAGCACTCTACATGGGGTTGCCTTTGAAGACTGTTCAGCCAAGGAAAAAACATGGCTGTGGCTTACAAAGGAACTTTGGAAAAGGAGACAGAGGGACTGATTCTTGCAGCCCAAGAACAAGCAATTACAACGAATGCCATCAAAGCCAGAACTGAAAAGTTGACGACAGATTCCAAGTGTAGATTCTGCAAGGAAGCAGACGAAATGATGGATCATATACTCAGCTGCTGCAAGAAGATTGCGCAGACAGACTATAAGCAGAGGCATAATACTGTTGCTAATGTGTTCCACTGGAACTGTGCAACAAATACCATCTGCCTGCAACAAAGAACTGGTGGGATCACAAGTCTGAAAAAGTGACAGAAAATAAACACGTCAAACTCGTCTGGGACTTCCGAATTCAGACAGACAGAGTCCTGGAGCACAATACTCCTGACCTCACAATCGTGTTAAAAAACAAAGTATGGCTTCTCGATGTCACAATCCCAGGTGACAGCAGGATTGCAGAGAAACAACTGGAAAAGCTGACACGATATGAGGATTTAAAGATCGAACTGCAAAGACTCTGGCACAAGCCAGTCAAGGTGGTCCCAGTGGTGATCGGCACACTGGGTGCAGTGCCTAAAGACCTTGGCCTATACTTAAACACAATCGGCGCTGACAAAATTACTATCTGCCAGCTGCATAAGGCCACCTTACTGGGATCTGCATGCATTATTCGCCGATACATCACACAGTCCTAGACACTTGGGAAGTGCCCGACATGTGATCCAAAATAACAGTCAGCAGAGTGATCTTGTCTGCTGTGCTGTGGACTCATCTTGTTGTGTTTCAAGTAGTAGTAGTAGTAGTAGTAGTAGTAGTAGTAATAAACAGCAACAACACTAAGAAGAATACCATACAAGATCAACTGCCCAAAGCAGTTGATCTTGCCAATCTGAAATATGTATTTGGTGTGCGGGGAACAATTTGTTTAAAACAGTACAAGTGTGAAACAATTTATCCAGACCAAAACAATATAATATACAGCAAACTAATCAAAACTTATAAACATAGAAAACAATAAAAACAATATACTAAAATCCCCAACGTTTTGAAAAACAAAAAGGTGTTTCATTGATATTTTTTTGAAAAAATAAAATATCCAGGGAAGTAGTACACTCGCAAGTGCATCTCCGCGTGTGCCTCTTTTGGAAGTCTACTTCTATGTTTTAACAGCATGGGCTTCTTCAAGAGCTCAAGGAGGATACCGGCGTTCCTCTCCGCCTGTCCTTCAGTCCCGCCTGGCCATTCAGGACGCAGGACGGGGTAGAACAGCCAATCGTAGCCGAGGGGGGCGGGGACAAAGCCTCTGGAGCGTGTTGCGGCCTCTTCCGAAAGCACAGAGGCAGAGCGGCATGGACGTGAGCGGAGGGCTGGAGGACGTGCCCGTGTTTGCGGGGCCGCAGTTCGAGGGCGCCCCGGCTTTTCAGGTGAGAGCGGGAGCATTCAATGTGAACGGAGGGGCGAAGAAACCTCAAGGGCCCTGTCAGACTGTAGCGCTGTTATTCCACTTTAACTGCCATGGCAACATCCCATGGAATTCTGGGATTGGTAGTTTAAGGAGAGGCCTGAAGAGAGACCTCGGGCCTTCTTGACCTACAGGCGCTTGTTTTATGGTTTGTAGCCTGTAGATCAGGCATGGGCCAACTTGGGCCCTCCAGGTGTTTTGGACTTCAACTCCCACAATTCCTAACAGCCTACCGGCTGTTAGGAATTGTGGGAGTTGAAGTCCAAAACACCTGGAGGGCCCAAGTTGGCCCATGCCTGCTGTAGATTTTTAATGTCTCTTTTGTAAGCTGGGAAATGGGCCCAGGTTCAAAAAGTATAACTTGGAGCGGCCTTTTAAGAACTCAAACGTGAAATTTCTGACATTAGTCAATATTTATTTATTTATTATCGTGTCAGGAGCAACCAGATATTTGTATTACATTTTTAACAAAGCAAACAAACAAACAGGCAAAACACAGAGTTTGCGAGCTTGGTAGTTGATTAAATGTCCTTTGACCAGTATCTGGCCACTTGGAGTGCCTCTGGTGTTGCTATAAGGAGGCATAGACACTGAGAACTGGGAAGCCCTGGCCCTTGAGCGCTCCAGCTGGAGGTCAGCTGTGACCAGCAGTGCTGCAGAATTCGAGGAGGCACGAGTGGAGGGTGAAAGAGAGAAACATGCCAGGAGGAAGGCGCGTCAAGCCAACCCCGACCGGGACCGCCTTCCGCCTGGAAACCAATGCCCACACAGCGGAAGAAGATGCAGAGCGAGAATAGGGCTCCACAGCCACATGCGGACCCACAAGGAAACCCATAGTGGAAGACCATCTTTCTCGTCCAACGAGGGATCGCCTAAGTAAGTAAGTAGTAAGTCTGGTGTTGCCACAAGGAGGTCCTCCATCGTGCATGTAGCAGGGCTCAGGTTGCATTGCAGCAGGTGGTCTGTAGTTTGCTCTTCTCCACACTCGCATGTCGTGAATTCCACTTTGTAGCCCCATTTCTTAAGATTGGCTCTGCATCCCGTGGTGCCAGAGCACAGTCTGCTCAGTGCCTTCCAAGTCACCCAATTTTTGTGTGCCCAGGGGGGAGTCTCTCATTTGGTATCAGCTGTTGATTGGAGCCCCCAGTGGCGCAGTGGGTTAAAGCCCTGTGCTGGCAGGATTGAAGACTGACAGGCTTGAATCCGGGGAGAGGCGGATGAGCTCCCTCTATCACCTCCAGCTCCTCATGTGGGGACATGAGAGAAGCCTCCCACAAGGATGATAAAAAACATCAAATCATCCGGGCGTCCCCTGGGCAACGTCCTTGCAGACGGCCAATTCTCTCACAACAGGAGCAACTCCTGACATGACAAAAAAAAAGCCGTTGATTGAAGTTCTGGGTTTGAGCCTGCCACTTTTGGACTCTCGCTTGCTGGGGCGTTCCAGCAAGTGTCTCTGTAGATCTTAGAAAACTATTTCTTGATTTAAGTCATTGACGTGCTGGCTGATACCCAAACAAGGGATGACCTGGAGAAGAGTTTTTCAGTGCCATACGTATCCACACACACACTCCCATAAAATACTTAGTTTTATGTCATGCACTCAAGAGACAAAAATGAAGTAGACCTTGATAAAAAATACCATATTTTGTTTACTCGCAACCTTCATGTGTTCAGGGTACACAGGTACAAAACTTATCAGTCCAGTTTCAGATACCTTTGAGATGATTGCCTGTGCCATCCAGCCAGGGAGTCTCTCTTGTATTAAAAACAGAAATCAGTGGACATAGTCAAAAGGAGAGAGAAGAGAGAGCACGTGGCCTTCAGCCCCTTTTTATAACTTCTCGGGAACCATAGAATAAAGGAAGCTGTATACCAGAACATACATACATGAATCAGAAAGCAACAGGATCATAGATAAACATTACTAGAGAAGGCTTGAAGAAGGTTGTCATTTCCAACGTATCCAAGACTTTTAACAAAGAACCCAAGAGAACCCAGTTTTTAAAAAGAGATACTACACACTGGTTTGCAAAATTACCACAAATACTGACCAAGTCCTGCTGTAAAAGAACAAATATGGCTCCCACAAAGGGACGCTCTGCTTTATTGACTTTTTATCTGGGATGCATACTCTCCTCATCACACCTGATTATTACAATTGATCTGAAAATATTGCGCTTTGAGTTATCACACCACAGAAGCATGGCTCCTCCCAATCCATTCAAAACATCTCCTACATCACTCTGTGACCTTTTAACAAGTATAGTTGCAGATGGAGTGCATACAGATTTTCCTATCAAACCACTATTATACCATGCTGGATTTAATTTCGCATTGTACTTTCATATTTTTCGCAATTAAGAATACCAGTAGCTCTTTGTGGTTTTAAAATAGGGATAGTAACTAAATTTTCCCTGCTTTCCAGTGAGTAGAAGCAGGATGATAGACAAAATTTGTACAGATACAGCATTTTGCATCATAGTATTATTAACTTTAACAGGAATACTTCCATATTCCACAAACTGTGAAAACTAGTTAGTTATTTTTTACAAAGTGAATGCTAATGACCATGCAGTATCGCATTCGTCCATTAGAGGTCACTCTAGTCTTGCAACAATACAAACTTTTGCTACTTACATGACTGGCGTGTTATGGAAATTCATACACGTTTCACTTGGCTTAATTATTATTGTCTTAATATTTTAAATAGTGTGCTTATTATAAAACATTCAAATCTGAATATATTCACATAACAAAAGATTTCAAAGAAACAGTTGCTGACTTTTAAAATATGTGTATTTGGAAGAAAACTAAGAAACAGCATTCTGCCCAGATCAAGATCTCAAGGATTGGTGGTCTTCTAAGAACAACGTTCTAAATGGGGATGAACTCCATCTGAAAAAGTTTAAGATTACTCCTTTACCTGGCATTCCTCCTTAAGCTTCAAGTAGCTTCAGAAGTGGGAAGTTGCCACAATGAGTTAGTGGACCAGTTGTGATCATTCTTGGATATTTAATAGTTTGGCAACAGTAGTTCATGTTCTGGTAACATCCCAAATGGGATTACCATAATGCGCTATATGTGGCACTGCTTGGGAAGATGACCCAAGAGTCTCCACTAATGAAGAATACAAGGTACATGGTATAGTCCAACTGTGTTGCACCAATTCCACATTAGCTGCCTGTTTGCTCCCAAGTCTGATTCAAGATGCTGTTTAATTCGAAAGCCTCAAATGGCTTGGGATCTAACTACATTCAGACCTTGGTATCCACTTGGGGTTTGGTTCCAGCCTCCCCTGTCCCCCAGTAGATACCATAATCCATGAATGCTCAAGTTTCATTATATACGATTATGTCTTAAATGGTTTCCATTATATAAAAGGGAAAAATCACAGTTTGCTTTTTTAATTAAAAATATTTTCAAGCCATTGATAGTTGACTTTGTGGATACAGATTCCATTCATACAGAGGTCCAGTTGTATCTGTGCAAGGAGTTTGTCCTTAATTAATCTGCCTTTGTTGCAGTATTGTCAGTGGAGTCTCCTTTCCATACTTGTTAGGCATCTTACATCAACAGAGCATTTTTGGTTGTTTCACACTTATTATGGATTGTCTTTCCTGTATAATTGTAATTGGTATCAACAATTGTTCTGATATAATTTCAAAACAAATTCTTTACCCTTCTTTTTTAATTGGTTGTGTTGTCTTTCTGTCACATTTGTCTCTTTTACTGCTTTCATTGTAATGTGATCTGCTTTAATCATATTTCTACACTGCCCCTGTATCCATAAGAATGCAGTAGAGCTGAAAAGTACAGAATGAAATAAATTTGCATGCAACATAGGAACACTGATACTTCACTGGGAGACATCAAATGCTATAGGAAGTGAGTACATTTATGAAAGTAGCTGAATGTTTTTCAATAAATTGCTAACTCGGATTTAGTAACACATTCCTACATTTTGGAATGGCAAACAAACTAGAATTAGTCATGTTCATATTCATTTCACTGACCAACCAGAGGGAAAACCATGTCACAGGACCCAGGCTTCCACCAAGACCAGTTTAAATTGATAAATCCTTCGGAATCTACCTGCACTCTAAGATACATACGAAGGCATCATCAAAGGAAGGCTAAGCTAGCTCAGGCTAGGTTGACCCAATTCATGTTCAGGTGATGGGAGAGAGGGAGACAGGTCAGTGGTAGGCTTATGAGGTCCATTCCTCAGCTACAGTCTCATCAAAACCGGGTGTTCCTGGAGAATGGAGATGATAATAATGCCACTCTATTTTGCTTTGCTCAGGCCTCACCTGGAATATTGTGTCCAGTTCAGGGCATCATAATTCAGGAAGAATATTAGCAAGCTGGAATGTGGCCAGAGAAGGGAGACCAAAACTATCCAAGTTCTGGAAGCCAAGCTGCATCAGGAATGGCTTAAAGAGCTGAGTGTGTTTAGTTTGGAGAAGAGAAGTCTGAGAGGGGACATGAGAGTTGTGTATAATTATTTGAATGGATATCACATTGAGATGGCAAGCTTGTTTTGTGCTGCTCTGGAGACTAGAGCATGGAGCAATGGATTCAAATAGCACAAAAAGAGATTCCACCTAAACATTAGGAAGAACTTCCTGCTGGTCAGAGCTGTTTGGCAATGGGATATGCCTCCTCGGAGTGTGATGGACTATCCTTCTCTGGAGGTTTTTAAGCAGAGGCTGGATGGCTTTCTGTTGGAAAGCTTTGATTATGTATTCTTATTGGTAGGAGGTAGAAATGGATAGCTCTTATGGTCTCTTCCGAATGTGTTTTTATGAAACGGCAAGCTAGGTGAGGTCACAGAAAGACTCTTGGGGCTCTTTCTCTGCATCTGCTACTGTCACCATGGAACAGCATGGGACAACTTGTAAGGTTTCAAAGTATCTTGCACACAGTAGCTTGCTAAATGTATGGAGCTAGTTTGGAATATTAAAAAAAGAAGATTCACAATATTGGTGATATCATTCTTTATCACCAATATTATATTGTTCATATGAAATGGATATAGTAAATTCTTTTAAATTGAGAACATAAGTCTATGCAAATATGCTCAGATACGAGTATTACAATATGTTTTCCCCTCTGCAACAGCAAAATCTTGGAAAGGATGATATATTATGCCACAAGATTTTGCTCTCCACTTTCTTCTTTTCATGTCTTCCGCAAATGTTTTTGTGGAAGTGTTAACAAAACACACCCCACAGTCTAGAGGCTTAAGGTTGTTTGGTTTTCTTGAGTACTGGCTGCAGCTGTGATAGGATAACTTTAGCCTTGTGGAGGTATGATTAATTCGCAAAGCTCTGGTAAAACAATACGAACACTCCCACTGTAGTTGTGCATGCATGCAGATTAAAACATCTTTGATTTCATCTCCCACCATCTGCTTCTCTCATTGTTCTGTTTTGTAGACCAATAATAACTTTCTTTCATGTTTTTCTTCTGTTCTTACACAATTCATTTGTCACCCAAAACATGCTGAATCATGGCTGGTCACTTTAGATAAAATTAGAAGCATAGGATTTGTGTGGGCTGGCAGGATCACTTTATCCTTGCTTTGACTAATGAGTTGCTTTGGTGGAATTAACTTATTAAGTGTATCCTCAGCAGTCCTTGGACACTAGCACCTGCCTTGCAGAAAATAGATCTCTGTAGAAATCATCTTTGGAGCCAATACAACAAAAACTGTCCCACAAAGCTGTTTAGCTGGATCTATTCTTTCACCACGTGGATATCAAAACTGGACAATAATATTGATTAAAAAAACAAATAAATAAGATCAAATTAAATTTAACAGTTTCTTATTGGTATGCTGTTAAGAGTTATTTTACAAGGTTTGACATAACATATCATTTCTCCCTCACCCTGCAAGGGTGATCTTATCCTCAAGTGTGTCTCTTTCTATATAGCCAGTCCCTAAGTCATGAATAAGATAGGATCTGTAGGTTTGTTCTTCAGTTAAATTTGTAAGCCTTAACTCCAGCCAAATATACATACATACATTATATATATACACACAGAAGAATTAACTCCCTTGTGTGTTTCTTTTGCTGTCTGTGCCCTCGTTTAGAAGATTTCACCTCACATTTTGTCCCTGCGATAATTTGATTTTGAAAAATGTGGCTTTTGCGGGAAACAAAGATTGGTGTTTCTTCAGTTCTTCCAGGAATTTATTTCCCTTCCTAGGGGCAAGTTTCTCTCACTTCCTGTTGTCTCACCCTCATTCTTAATTATGAGTCATTTTTAAGTTGGATGTTTGTAACTCAGGGACCACCTGTATTTACATTAGTTAAACTGTAGACAAAATAAAGTATTGAAGACAAGTTAGCTCAAAATAGGATATGAATTAAAATGCATATATAGTACAGTTACTTACTAGAACCAAAAGTGTTATTTATGCACTTATTTATTCATTAAATATTATATTTTCTCCCAATATGGGATTCAAGGAGTCTTTACAATGTAGGTTAAAGGCTCAGTACTAACCAAGTAGAACGATACACAACAGATAATCTCAGCTATTGAGTGGAGGCAAAACAGGGAACTAGAACTTTAGTTTATGGTATTATGAGTATATATTTAGAGTTTCCATGGTGTAGTGCTTTGAGTGTTTGACTAAGACATCGGGGTTGAATCCGTCCTCTGTCATGGAAACCCACTGGGTGCCCTAGGGAAAGTCATACGCTCTCAATTTCCAAAGAGGGGCTTGACAACTCCCCTCCAAACAAATATTGCAAAGAAAACCCCACAATAGGCTGGGCTTAAGTCAGAAGTAACCTGATGGTACACATTAACAATTGTATGTTTACAGAGGATGGGAAACTTGTAATCTTCCAGATGTTGATGAATGACTAATTTCCATCATCATCTTTTCATTGGCCAAACTGGCAGAAGGTGATGGAATTGAGAGTCAAGAAACATCTGGGAGCCACAAGTTTCCCAACCCTACCTTAGACTTAAAAGCACCTCTACTGGGTATCCAGTCCTAATCACCACATTTGTTAGAAGACGAAACTGGCCAAAAGCCAATTAAAGGTGGTTGGACATTCCTTATCCAGAATTTCAAATCTGAAATATTCCAAAATTGTACATGTGGATGGCTGAGATAGTAATACATTTGCTTTCTGATGGTTCAGTGTACACAAACTTTGTTTCATGCACAAATTTCTTGAAAATATTGTGTATAAAATGTCCTCCAGCCTTTTTTTTCTGTGTTAGGAGCGACTTGAGAATCTGCACGTCGCTTCTGGTGTGAGAGAATTGGCTGTCTGCAACGGTGTTACCTAGATGTTTTACCATCCAATGGGAGGCTTCTCTCATGGGAAGCTAGAGCTGACAGATGGGGGCTCACCCCACTCCCTGTATTTGAACTGCCAACTTTTTGGTCAGCAGTCCTGCCAACACAAGGGTTTAACCTGTTGTGCCACCGGGGGCTTCAGATTGTGTTTATTATGTATATGCAAGTATTAAAAATCCAAACTATGAAACACTTCTGGTCCCAAGCATAAGTTAAAGGATATTCAACCTGTGAACCTATTTCAAATGGTATTTATTGTGAAATTTCCTATCTCTACCTTTTTATCTATTTATCTGTAGAATTGTATTACGTCAGATTGTACATTTGAAATACCACGTATTGTAAGATTTTTCAGCAAGTATAATAGCAATCATGCACTCTTTGGTTCATATATTGCACTATGTTCTATGATGCCTAGATTTGTTTTTCATATAAAAGGCATTGTTGGCCACTAACATAATTCTGTTTGTTCCCGTTTACAGTATAGCCCAGATCACGTGGCTGGAAAAGGAGGCAGACCAGACCCCTCTGAGATTTCCTTTCCTGGCTGTAGCTGTCATTCTGCTTCCTGCGTGGCTTCCAGTTGTTCATGCCTTCGCTATGGGGAAAACTATAACAGCTTGTGTATAAAAAGTGAAAAAAATGGACTGAATTTCTGCAAACCTATTTTTGAATGCAACACTATGTGCCAGTGTGGAGAGCTGTGTCAAAACAGGGTAATTCAGAGAGGCTTACAATTCAGACTTGAAGTCTTTAAGACAGCTAAAAAAGGATGGGGTCTTCGCACACTGGAATTTATCCCCAAAGGAAGGTTTGTGTGTGAATACGCTGGGGAAATTCTGGGCTTTAAAGAAGCATGTCGAAGGATACAGCTGCAGACCCCAAGCGATGCAAATTATATTATAGCAGTAAAGGAACACTTGTCCAATGGGCACATCATGGAGACGTTTGTGGATCCCACTCACATTGGTAATGTTGGAAGATTCCTTAACCACTCTTGTGAGCCAAACCTCTTTATGGTCCCTGTCCGAATAGACTCCATGGTGCCTAAACTGGCACTTTTTGCTGACCGTGATATTTGTGCAGAGGAAGAACTTACATATGATTATTCTGGAAGATACCGTAATTACTTGCCTGTCAAAGATCAGGACAATCTTCCAGAAGGGGAAGCATCTAAAAAGCTCTGCTACTGTGGGACCAAATTGTGTACAGGTTTCTTGCCTTTTGATAATTCTTTATTCTGCAGCAGTGATGTAAGAAGCCATAATGAGGAAACTTTGTAGAAACACAAGCTGTAGTACTTGATCGGTTTAAGTGTTTGCAACTTTGATCTGTCTCTGTTGAGTGGGAAGGGAGGGAGATAAATGAGTGGCAGTGACAAAAAGGTTGGGCTTCTGGACTTTTGAATCTGGACAGGTTTTCCACTGGTTTCAGTGTACATTCAATGTGGAGTCTTTGATAGATGAGATATTTGACCTGTGACTCAGAAAAAACTGCTCAGCTCCATTTTAAAAATGGTTCTGGCATTCAGTACATTGAGAGAAGATACTACAGATAGATCCTTTTTATCCATTTCTAAATTGCTGTGCTTATTTAAATGGTTGGATGTGCCCTTTCATTGACTCATTCATGTGACTCCTCTACCAAATCTACAGTTGTGATATCTGACTGCTCAAGGCAAATGCAAGACCCGATACCCGTGTTCCAGAAGCACTTTACTTCTCTTGCCTCTGTCGGTGAGAATTATACAAGAGTGGTTTGTCTAATTGATAGTCCTAAGGCAGTGGTTCTCAACCTGTGGGTCCCCAGATATTTTGGCTTTCAACTTCCAGAAATCCTAACAGCTGGTAAACTGGCTGGGATTTCTGAGAGTTGTAGGTCAAAACACCTGGGGACCCACAGGTTGAGAACCACTGACCTAAAGGAATCAGGCAGAATTCCTCTGTGTCTTGTCTTGGCCCTTTCCCGCCTTCAGTTGTATGGCATGTGGGGTTTGTTGAGGATCTCTTCCATCAAGCTTATCTCTCTCCCTCATGTCCTCTTTATCATGCTATTTCCTTGAATTATATGCAGTTAGGATGCCATTTTTCCCAGTATGGAAAAGTTGGGCATCAGTGCCCTAAAACTGGTGCTAAATGGCTGGAATGGGGTTGGACTGGATGGCCCTTGTGATTTTTTCCAACTATGATTCTAAGTACATTGGAGTATGTTATTGTTTTTCCAGTTATATCTCACCCAATCATCTTCAATACCCTCTAAGCCAGCCATCATCAAACTGTGGCTCTCCAGCTGTTTTGGCCTCCAACTCCCAGAAGCCCTAGCCATCTTGTTCAATTGTCAGGAATTTTGGGAGTTGTATGCTCAAACAGCTGGATGGCCGCAGTTTGAGGATGCCTGCTCTGAGCAGTGAAGTGAAGTAGTATTGTTGCTATGTGTAAAGATCTGAAACATAAAGGAGCTATTTTTAGAAAGTGAAATATTCACTCCCTCTTCTCCTTTTATCTATGTATGTGAAACCTCATTTCTGTCACTGTTACGATCTGCCATCAATAAAAACAAGAAAGGAAGTCTGTTTTCCTCTGTTGTGAATTTCAAAGTCTCACTTGGAAGCCTCAGAAAGCTGAGCCTGCTTCCCATCCATTATCTTAGATTGAGTGCTAAATTATCATGAATAATACACACGCACACATATCGCAGAAAAATATGGAATGAGAAATTAGAAATACACGTGGAGCTTACCTTATCCAAATTCCAAAATACTCCATATATCATCCACATGGATGGCAGAGTTAGTGACACCTTTGATTTCTAATGGTTTATTGTACACATTTCTTGTGCAACGTTATTAAAATATTGCATATAAAACAGTTTAGGCTATGTGTATAAGGTATATATAACACATAAAGGAATTTTGTCTTTGGATTAGGGTCCCTTCCCCAAGATATCTCATGATGTACATGTATATAAATACAAATTTTCCAAAATTTGAAATTCAAAATATTTCTGTCAATAAGAGATACTCAACCTGCATAAGTGTTTAGGACTACTTATATTATACATACTGACTTTTTGAGACAATAAAGACAATGGCTGGAATCCTATTGCGGATTTATGAATGCATAACCACCATAGTTCCATATCTACTTCTGCCCTTTCTTGCCACATCCAGATTTACCAGAAAGAAGCCACTGTGATCAATATTCCTCCTCCTTCCTGCATGCATTCTCTATATCAGGATGAATTAAAGTCAAGGTAATTAACAATTACATTGTCCAGAAATTAACTAGATACATGGCTGATCTGAAAGTGGACTTGGTTAGTGCTATAACTAGTATTTTCTATGCTCGGGTAAGTGATCCTGAATCTTTTGCCTTAAGTTCTTTGAAATTAGAAGAATAAAATGGGGAACTATTTCAGACTCTTTGAGAACTTCACCTTTGATATCGTGTCCCTTCAAGTCGTTTCCGAATTAAGATAACCATATCAGTTTTCTTAACAAGATTTGCCCAGAGAGAATTTACCTTTGTCTTCCCTGGGCTGGGAGAGAGTGATTTGTCCAAGACCATTTAGTGGATGTCCATGGCTGAGCAACAGATTTGATTCCTGGTCTCCAGATGTAATCTGATGTTCAAACCACTATGCCATGCTGATCTTACATTGTGTTTGTGCATCTTCATTACTGGAAGCTTAAACTGGAAGATACATTTAAAAAAAATCTTAGTATAAGGAAACTGATTTAAACCACACAATTGGATTTATAGCTTGGTGAACGCATTATGTATTCTGACAGGATCCATTCATCCAGAACTAAGTGTAAACTTGCTCATGCCTGAGTGCAAAGTTCTGCCCTAGCCACAGTTCACAACACATCATTAAATGAACTGAAGGAGGAAAGGAGGTAAGGAAAAATCTTTTTCTAGTGATTCAATATTGGAGATTTCAGCTGGAAAAAATGGAATATCCAAGCAACAGAAGCTATACTCTTCAAAACATCATCTGGATGTCATCCTGTGAGAAATTTGGAATCCATCACATGTTCCATGTAGAGAAGGAAAGCCCTGCAGACATGAACTCTAACTGTTTAAGCAGAGGAAACAATTAAAAAATGGGGAAAAAGATTGAGGGTATTAGTTCAGATTTGTTCACTTACGATGATGGGCAGTGCTCTTCCTCCCAGTCTGCCCATGAAAGGTTTATTTTGCCCATTACTCTACTTGGCAGGACAAGTCTGGGAAAGCCCCCTGGTTACGACTGATAGATGGAGGCATTTGCTAATCTTATCTAAACAGTGTGCTCCCATCGCCTACTTTGGCGCCATTTAAGCATCCTGAAATGCTTTATGCTGTGAGGTGTTTCCCTTTCATTTCATACATTTACATGGGCTTATTGTTCCCCTTTATCAAACTGGAGCCCATAACTTTAGGCAATAGTTATGTCCAGGGAGGGACCATTTCCTATCTGAAAGAGGAGTGTTCACTTGCAATGTGAGACCTCTGCCAATTCCTGTCAATTTATAGGGAGTAATGTGCAAGATTGTAAAAACTCTCCAGTAGTATTTATGTGTTGAACTTGGCACACAGAAGGCTTGCATTATTTACTGAGTGTGCCTGTTTTACATCAGTCATAAAATCAAGAGCAGGGCATGAATGTGATATTTAAAATAATAAAAACAATTATGATATGTCTTCTAACTGTCCCTATTTGGCAGGAGTAGTCCCAATTAATCCTCTGTCTTTCCACTTTCTCAACTACAGTTATCCCTCCACATTAGTAGTTTTGACAGTTGTGGATTGGCTAATCACAGATTTGATTTTAAATGTTCTCTTGAAATTCCTAGATCCTCCAGTGGTCAACTTTAATCATACTAGAGGAACTAGAGCAGTGGTTCTCAACCTGTGTGTCCCCAGATAATTAATAACAGAATTGTGGAAGCTTCATTATATCTGGATAGAATACTGGGCATTCAGCCTTGAATTAAGTTTTGAAGGTATCCATTGACTAGTTCATAGAATATGATTAGAGAGAGAACAATCTTGTGCATGTTTATACCACAGTTGTGCTAATAGGATAGCCGTCATATCAAATGCATGCTCAGCTTGGTTGCAAGAGTCAAAGGCAGAAAATTAGAGAGTCAGAAAAGATGAAAACAATGCAGATATTCACAGAGATGCAGATCCAGAATTACTGGAAACTAGGGATATGGGCGGGGGGGGGGGGGCATCCAGAGGTAAAAAGCCAAGCTCATGGATCCATAAAATATATCACCTTGGCCATGGGTTAGAGTTGGTTTACTCCATTATTGTTTTAGAGAGAACAATAATGTTGTTATGTTTAACCAATGTTTTGTAGCCAGGAAATCAGAAGACGCTTACTTCTTGGGAGGAGAGCAATGTCCAGTCTCGATAAAATAGTGAAGAGTAGAGACATCAGACTGGCAACAAAGATCCGCCTAGTCAAAGCCATGGTATTCCCTGTAGTCACCTACGGATGTGAGAGCTGGACCTTAGGGAAGGCTGAGCGAAGGAAGATCGATGCTTTTGAGCTGTGGTGTTGGAGGAAAGTGCTGAGAGTGCCTTGGACTGCGAGAAGATCCAACCAGTCAATCCTCCAGGAAATAAAGCCCGACTGCTCATTGGAGGGAAGATACTAGAGACAAAGTTGAAGTACTTTGGCCACATCATGAGGAGACAGGAAAGCCTAGAGAAGACAATTATGCTGGGGAAAGTGGAAGGCAAAAGGAAGAGGGGCCGACCAAGGGCAAGATGGATGGATGGCATCCTTGAAGTGACTGGACTGACCTTGAGGGAGCTGGGGGGGGTAACGGCCGACAGGGAGCTCTGGCGTGGGCTGGTCCATGAGGTCACGAAGAGTCGGAGACGACTGAACGAATGAACAACAAGAACGATTTCACTGCTGCCCAACCTAAGGAATAAAGAGACCAGACAAAATATGGGATAAAATAAGGGCAACTTGATTAACTGTTATGTTTTTGGTGATAAGCAAATTTGTTGTGGGGGCGGCTGGAGCAGTCAGTCCAGCTGACCACAGCCCCCAGCATCTGCTCCATTAGCCCTTGAGAGGAATGTGACTCAGGGTCAAGAGAGTAACTTGCTCAAAACGATGATTAAGAATGTATTTAAAGCAAGAGATCTCTATATTCCTCTGAGACAGAGAGGGGGATTTGAGGTCAAAAGATCAACTCATTTCAGACAATGTATTAAATGTTTTAAAGGTGGCATTGTGTGCACCTTCTTCTGCCACTTAGTAAGTGTGATTAATATTTACTACTTATTGAGCCAACAGAACTCGTAACAACGGCTTGCCTCAAAAGGGCCAATAATGGGATTGGCCAGTTGAGGAAACACAAGAAGAACATGTAGCTCTTCAAATGTTGCTAGACTACATCTCCCATCAACTGCAAGCAGCCTACTCAATAGTGAAGGATGGTAGTTGTAGCCTGGCATTGTGAGGCTCTCTGGCTCCCTATTTCTGAATTGTTGAGTCTGTGTAACAAGGGAAATAACTGGGGATCCAAGCCCCATACTTGATAAATCTGTTTCCGTCACAGTAAACTATGGTTTACTGTAACTTTTGAATGCAGCCATTTTGGAATAGTATGAATGACCCATAGATTTCCTCTTCTTTGCAGGTGCATTATCACCCACTGTCAAGATACTGAAGCATCTTCTGTCTAAAACTGCAAAGGGCATACAATAAAATCTGAATAGGTGGGTTTGAAACCTTTCCCCAGAGTTCTTCAAAACAGTGAAGGAATTTCATATTTGTATTGATAGGCTTAGACAAGCAGGGAGCAGCTCCAGCCGTGTCCAACAATGCCAAATCACTTTGTTTATATACAGCTATCTGTATTTTATAAATTCTTGCTCCATAGGTTTTTTTAAATCTGTGACCGCCATTTACTGAAAAGTCATAGGAATGAGTCATCTGCACTATGCTCTTAATACCATGTTTTGATTTAGTCAAACAGAATTGCATTTGTTTTAGCAAGCAGATTTTCAGTAATCTTTCCATTGACATAGAGAATGTAAAACAATTACTAAGATGTAGAATTGATTCTTATTAGGAATGTTTTTGTTCCAGCTGGTGGAAAAACCTTGACATAAAACTAATATTGTGTGGGAGGAAACTTGGGAACGAGGGCTATAACTCTCTCCTTAAAGAGAGATGATTTGTTTGGGGGACAGGTTAGGGTTAGAGTTAGGAGGGGGAGGAGCTATAAATGAATTCCTAATGTTTCACCTACTTGTACCCCATGCCCCAATTCTCTACAGACTTCATATTCTACATAAATTCAAGGAGGAAACAAAAAGAAGTTGCAATTGGTATTAACATGTTTTTTACTGATTGTAAAACTAGAAGTAAAACTAGAAGGCATTTTGTGACTTTACTGATGAACAGATAATCCTCCCATTTCGCAAAAGCAGTCCAATATTGTTTCAGCACTCACCATGAAATAGCATTCTCAACCACATCTGAAGACAACACAGCACAAAAGACACCATTCTGCCACAATAACGTGTTCTTAGCTATCCGCTAAGAGGCAGTC